ATATATATGCATGAAAACGAATATATGAATATCTTATGAATAGTCTATGATTCAAGCTAGTTTCAAGATTAGGGCACTGCTCCATCCGGGTTCAATCAAACATGCATGAGCTAATTTAGTCTTTCTCGCTCTTATTTGCTTTCATATGTTTTCTCAAAATAGGATTATGTCCGAGGAACATGGATATCAAAGGAGTGGAAAGAAGTGCAGAGAGAAGTTTGAGAATCTTTACAAATACTATAGGAAGACTAAAGAAGGCAAAGCTGGAAGACAAGACGGAAAACATTACAGGTTTTTCCGGCAGCTTGAAGCCCTCTACGGCGATTCCACTAACGTGGTTTCTTGTCCCAATCATAACACGCAGTTCATGAGCAATGCCCTTCATGGTTTCCACACTCAAAACCCTATGAACGTTACTACAACAACGTCCAACATCCACAACGTTGATAGTGTTCATGGTTTTCATCAAAGCCTTAGTCTTTCTAACAACTACAACTCCTCCGAGCTGGAGCTGATGACTTCTTCGTCTGAAGGGAATGATTCTAGTAGTAGAAGGAAAAAGAGGAGTTGGAAAGCGAAGATCAAGGAGTTCATTGATGCGAACATGAAAAGGTTGATAGAGAGGCAAGATGTTTGGCTTGAGAAGTTGACAAAGGTTATTGAAGACAAAGAGGAACAAAGGATGATGAAAGAAGAGGAATGGAGGAAGATTGAAGCTGCACGGATTGACAAAGAGCATTTGTTTTGGGCTAAAGAGAGGGAGAGGATGGAAGCTAGGGATGTCGCGGTGATTGAGGCGTTGCAGTACTTGACAGGAAAGCCATTGATAAAGCCGCTATGTTCGTCCCCGGAAGAGAGGATTATTGGTAATAATAAGATCCGAAACAATAGTGAGAATCAGAATGAGAACGGAAGCGATCAAACAATGACTAACAATGTTTCTGTTAAAGGAAGTAGTAGCTGCTGGGATGAGCAAGAGATTATAAAGCTTATGGAGATAAGAACGAGCATGGACTCGGCGTTTCAAGAGATATTGGGAGGGTGCTCGGATGAATATCTATGGGAAGAAATTGCAGCGAAATTGGTTCAGTTAGGGTTTGATCGGAGAAGTGCCTTATTATGCAAGGAAAAGTGGGAATGGGTAAGCAATGGAATGAGGAAAGAAAAGAAGCAAATCAACAAGAAAAGGAAGGATAATTCTTCGAGCTGCGGCGTATACTATCCAAGAACCGAAGAAAATCCAATGTACAACAATCAAGAAAGAGGATATAATGATAATGATCAGCATCGGATGAACGAACAAGGCAATGTAGGTTCTTCGACATCAAACGCAAACGTAACCACTGGGAATCCGAGCGGCGCAATGGCAGCTAGTACAAACTGCTTCCCGTTCTTCATGGGAGATGGAGATCAGAATTTGTGGGAGAGTTATGGGCTGAGGCTAAGTAAAGGAGAGAATCAGTAAGTAATTTGTCTCAATGAAGAAGATGAAGAAGAAGAAGGTAATCATGGTTAACTAATTCTTTTGAGTTAGCTATATATATATATATATGAGAACGATAACCTTGACTTAGCTATTATATCACATGATGCTTAGAATTAATTAAAGAATATTTGTTGGGGCTTAACGAATTTATATCAGCATGTATAAGATGAAAGTCTATATATGAATCAAGTCAAATTAGGCTTTAACCAACGATTGTATACAATGTTTGCTTGTATTTATTTTGTAAGACGTTTTATATCGATCATATTATCGATCTTTCTTTAAATATTGAATTTTTATCCCAATAGCATAAGTAATTTGTTGACCAGAAAAAAAGACATACGTATATACATCCATATATGCTAACAAAGATCGTATCTCATAAAACTCAACTTTTATAAGAGAATTTATTTTCCACATCCCAAAGGCGTAGACACGCAAAACCAGACAAGACATGTCATAGGATAACCAAAAAAAAAAAAGATCTAATGATGCATGTCTCAACATTTAAGGGTGATTCTTCTTTAATTTACCTTTAAATATAATATTTGATGTCAAGAAGAAAAAAAAAAAAAAGATTTATCATAGTTTTAATATGAACATGGCATTTTCCCTCGACCCTTGAATTGAACCAAAATTTCCGGGGGATTGAATCAATAATATTATGATGATTAATAGGAAAGGGATTGACAGACTATGAATAGACTCGAGAGACAATAACATATGAACCAAACGGTTCTTGTCCATTGGCATGCAATAGTTTTCACAAGTTTTTAGTTTTCGTATTTTACTGTAGAATATTAGTTTTCTTTTAATTTTTGAAAAAATTTGTGTTCATCAGTGTTCAGGAAAACTAATTCACATAATAGGGTTTTATTAGTTTTCATAATGAATTAGCTAGTAGGAACTTCAAAAATCTAATCTCTCTTGCTAGTTTATTCTAGAAGAACCATTATTATTTTTTAAATCTTAAATGACTAATAAAATGGTTTTTTCAAAAGAATAAAACACAGCTACTTTAAAACCTATCAAATTTAACCAAACTTGTTATTCTTCTTTCTATATATTCGATTTCTGGATCATAACATTTTTAATGGATGAAATGAAAGATCTCTCGCCTGAATTATTTTATTTGATCGGTTAGTAAACCGTGAAACTTGTTTGAACTTAATATGGTCTTGAAGACTCAACCTAATTAATGTATGTACATAAATGGTGATACAAAGAAAACATACATAGAAGGCTAGAGCTGTAAATTTGGGGTAATCCTAGAGAGAGATAGAGAGGGGGAGATGGAGAGAGTTATGTAGATGGAGACAGAGAGTAAGAGGTAGTGAAGTAAGCTCTGGTCGATTCAGTGTAGTGGTAATGGTCAGAGAGAAGAAGAAAGTAACCATTTGCCTTTTTATCTCTCTCTCTCTCTCCATGATCTCTTCTTCTCCTTTTGTCCCTATTCCCTATAGAGACAGTGAGACACGAGCACGAGTCAATACAATCCCTTCGTACGAACACATTATTGCTGATAACGTTGATTAATTCTGAATTGTCTCTATTCTCATTTAAGTGCTTGTTTCGTTTTATGGGTTCCACACACCAAGACCAGTCCTACTTCTAGAGCTTGATGATTCTTCTTGTCAATACGTCTATTAACTGTTTTGTTCTTATTATTTGGATATCCAACATTAATGATGTATTGGTTATTTTTTTCTTAAACGCCGTGTCATATATTATATATATATATATATATATATATATGTTATGGAAATTTTATATATAACTTTTGTGGAAATTCCTAAATTTGATGTTTTAGAAGCTTTTTTCACATATGTGTTAATAAAACCTTCAAGAATTTTGCAATTACATTAAAAAAGGTAACCCAAACAAAGAAGATTGTACAGTAGTGAATAAGAAAGACTGAAGTTTGTATTATTCATCACTAGCTATAGATTCATTTCAAACTGTTTTCATGACCCTATTTTTATGTTCAGTCACTGCCCTTGTCTCTCTACTCTCTCTGTCCACCCTACGACTAGACACATCATCACCTCATTATATGATTTTATTGTTTTTATATTCTGCTCATTTCAGCCTTCAAAATTCTTCTTTCTTTGGATCTTTGAGTATTTAGTAATTTCTAAATTTTCTAGATAAGATATACCAGAACAAACAAAGTCATACTTTTGTCAACGTAGTTATCAAGATAGTTCAAGTCTATAGAACTAGTAGCCACAAAACCCACAACTTAGTGACATCTACGATAATCTTTTTTTTTTTTTTTTTCGTTGCAAATTTAATAACTGGGACTAAAAGTTTAAGCAGAACATAATACTGTAGATTTTAATTTTCTAGTAGATGTTAACGTATGCTATACATCCTTTTTAAAATAATTAGAACCAAATTTCCCCACAAGAAGGGTTTTAATCATAAATACTTTAATATATATTGATAGCCTACTTTGAGTCTTTGAAGAGAAAGGTAACTTCTTAAAACGTTTGTGATTCTGTATCTGCATTGTCCAGAATTCTTAGTATCACTAAGTAAAAACAAAGAAGTGGTGTAAAAACACATGTTTGGAATCAAGCAGTACTTCGTTTTCTTCTCAGAAACTCAAGAGATGCCAATGCGCCTTAATACAAGAAAATGGAAATTTAATTGTTTACCCGAACCGTCTAACAGCTTTGTGTTCTCACTTCTCAGGTTCGGTTTTGCTCTAACCTAATAAGTAAAAAGGAAAAGAAGAAAAAAAAAAGGAAACAACGGAGAGAAAAAAGGAAACTTGAGTCATTAATTTAAAAAGTAACCGTTAGCTACGAAAACTTGAGTCCCAAACAAAACACATCTCATCAACAGTTTATAAATAGACTCGATATCGGACCTCCTCGAATGAGTTATAATAATCAGAGAGAAAGATGCAAATTTCATTGCTCTGATTTTACCATTCTCACCTGCTTAGGTGGTGGAAGATGTTGATGATACTTTGATAAATTCTTCTTCGGCTTTCGTTATGTAGGATCGGAAGACTGCGAGGAATAAGATGATCACACTATATATGATGTTATTAGTAAGATGATGATGATGTTCAACAAAGACGTCATCGAAGAGGAGGAAGAAGAACGACGGTTCCGGTCTAGAGAAGGAGATTCTCCGGTGATACCATGGAAAACTTAGGAAACAAAGCTTCCGGATTGGAATCTCACATCTTCAAGCCCATTAAGCAAAAGGTTTTCAGCCCACCAATTACATTGAGGTCTAATTTTTTATTTTCATCTTATTAATGCTTTTTTCAAATGCAAGTTTTTTTAAATTTGGATGCTAAATTTACAAAATGATATGAATACTAATTGGATTGTGGATCCAGTCTTAGATTGTTAGAGATTCCATAAATTCAACTTGTTTTCGCATCGTTATGTAGATTTAGCATTTAAGCTTTTAATTTGATTTCTTAAAATATTTTTAATTTGTTTCTTTTCTTTATGGATTTTAAAAAATTTAACAGAATATTATAGAAGTTTGTACATATTTTTATTAGATGTTAACTTATATATACTGTACATCATTTTTTTAATAATTACAACGAAATTTCCCCACATAAAGGGTTATATCATAAATATAATTTACACATTCCAGGCTACTAGTAGTATCATATATATGCCCATATTTTTATAAGACAACAATATCTAATAGCAAAAAATAAATAATTTACACCGTCACGTTATAGCCAGAACAATAAAACCAAAATTTCAAAAAATTCTGTAATGGACCTTTTAGTATTTGTAGTCTTTGACGTGAAGGCTCTCGGAAGCACCATCACCTAGCTGTGCATCACCCTTGTAGCCACCAAGGGTTGCTTCAGAGTTGGCCTTAGCTCTAGCCAAGAACGCCTTTTGAGCCTTTTCCACATTCTCTTCTTTACCTCCCCAAGCCTTGAGCGTACTCTGTTGAAGCGCTCGTCCATATGAAAACGTCAAGCTCCATGGTTTCTTACCTTTGAGCTGATTAATGGCGTTTAGATTCACAGTTGCTTCTTCCTCACTCTGTCCTCCAGACAAGAACACAACAGCTGGAACCGCTGCAGGAACCGTCCGTTGTAAAGCACGAACGGTGTGCTCTGCAATCACTTCAGGTTTGACCTTGGAGCCACTGTCAGAACCTGGAGTAACCATGTTTGGTTTCAGGAGTGTTCCTTCCAAGATAACATGGTGATCACTAAGAGCCTTGTAACAAGCCGCAAGGACTCGTTCCGTGACATAAGCACATTTCTCAATATCATGAGATCCATCAACAAGAATCTCTGGTTCAACAATAGGTACAAGACCATTCTCTTGGCATATGACTGCGTATCTCGCTAAACCGTAAGCATTCTCATGGATAGCTAACTCAGAAGGCTCCTCGTTTCCGATTTTGAGAACAGCACGCCACTTGGCGAAACGTGCACCAGCTTCATAGTATTTCTTGCAACGGTCACCAAGCCCGTCGAGGCCAGTGGTTGTGGTTTCACCATTTGTACCAGCGAGCTCAACGGTTCCTTTATCGACCTTGATACCTGGAAGCACTCCAGCTTCCTTCATCACATCAACAAATGGTTTCCCTATAGAAGAAATCAACAACATCATGCATCAATGATATATATAGAATCAAGAAAACATGAAACCGTTTTGTGAGGTTTTTTGAGTTTAATTAAAGACCTGAAGCAGTTTTTTGGTACAGTGTTTCCTCGAAGAGGATGATACCACTGATGTATTGGAGAGCTCCAGGAGTGGTGAACAAGAGCTCGCGAAGAGCACGTCTGTTTGATTCAACGTTCTCGACGTTAATGCTTACGAAACGCTTCCCGATTGTTCCAGTGGACTCATCAGCAGCGAGAATACCTTTTCCCGGGGTACCGATGTAAGCGGCATTGGCGATGAGCTCATCTGTAAAGATCAACAAACACGAGATAGATTCAGCTTTGACATCGATCACACTTAATTTCAAGATTTGAAGCAGTTCGTGACAAATTTATGCTTTACCGGAGAATTTGGATTTGAAGCACGACATTTTAAATAAAAGAAGCGACGGCGACTGTGTCAGAGAATATACTTCCGAAGATAGAAACAATCTTTATGTAATGTCTTTATGTAATGTTTTGAAATAGAAGAGAATGGGCTTTTAAAAGGCCGCCTAAGAGATAGACACGGCGACAAATATGGAGTTATACAAGCGGTTCATATAAATTCTCGCTTCGCAACTCCAAAATTGTCGGTTCGTATGACGCTCTTTTCTATTTTTCTTTTAGTACCATTCTATTTTTAGTCTTCTTCTTGCGAATTCATATACTTAAAATTGTTAATTTTGGATTAGAGAGAGGATAAAACTCCGTGAAATATTGCAAGACGTTGTTGTATAAAGCTAAAACTAAACGTGTTATCTAAAATTTTTGGTGGTTGCGCCCGTGAACTTAGCACTTGCATGCTGCTCACCAAAGAATACTTAAAAAGTTGCAATAAAGAATTTAGATTTATTTATACAAATTGGGATAGTGGAAATCTCAAAGCATGTGGGCCTTTGAGGAAAAGTCCACCAATCCACACTTGTTAGCGTCATTCGTGACGCCAATTGCTCATTTCTCCCCTTATTTTAATCTATAAAATTATTTCTGCCATTTTTTACCTTTTTCGACCACCAAAAGAAAAAGAATTATATATTACAAAAAGGTGTGTTTGATTTTGATAAATGATAAACCATATAATTTATCAGAATTTTAAATACTTGTTAGGTGCAAAAATTCATCACCAAGATGATGGTTAAATTGCAAAAAGAACAAAAAGAAATGAAGAAGTTAATTTTATACTATATGTGTAAAAAATACATACCTCTTGTAAATAAAAAAAAAAATGAGAACAACCCAAAAAAAAAAACTAGAAAGCTATCTCTATCATCTCCGACTCATTTCAACGGAACTAAAACTATCCGACCCGAGATTTTTATACGGGCCGGGTGATAACCCACCATCTTCCTCTAGTACTCGTTTCTCTCTTGTCCAATTCCTAAACCCGACGTAAACCATCGTCACCATTAAAACCAACGCAATCACAGCCAGAAGTGACATCCCAACGGTTAATCCAACACGACTCTTTTTCTTCCCTACACCTTCACCTACCTTAAAATAACCCAATTTACTCGGATCCTCAACGCCCAACATCGTCCGGATCGGGTAATTAACCAAATAACAAAACCCAGACCCGTTATTATAAACCGCCCCGAAACACTTACAGTCTTCAACACACATCTCCTCACACTCTCTTATAGACGACGTCGTCTTATGATCCATCAGCTCCTTGAACGGCACTTCAACGCCGTCGCGTCTCACCGCTCTGTACTCCGTTGCCTTGCCGCAAAAATCAGCCGGCCCGGACGGCATGTGATTACACTCTCCGTTCACTGTTCCGTTGTCAATACACGAACAACCCGATCCAGGCGTGCATAGACTGTACGGACCACACGGATTTGGGAGATCGCAAGTTTCGCGGATCGCTTCGTAGTTCAACGCCCAGTGAGAACCGTCCCAGAGATATCCCCGGAGATTCCCGTCGGATTCTAATCGGAGAATTAGTAAACCGTTAACCGGTCTTTGAAAGCTATTGAACGCTTCAACATCGATTGGTATGTTTCCGGTTTGGTACATACCGAGATAACCATTGGGGTTAATCCGAGCTAGAATTGGACCGGCTCCGTCTTTGACTTTGGCTTTGGCTTGAAGAGCACTGTGTTTCCAGTAGAACTGTTGAGAATCATCGCTCACTTTAGCGTACAAACCGATGAAATCCCTACCTAACCGCATCGAATACAAACCGTTGGGTGAAACCAAAGCCATGGCAGACGTGAAATTCTGGTTCTCTACGAGGGTATTTCCGGGATAATCAAAACTCTCCCACTCCGCGAACGACGTCGTATTCACCACTTGGAGATTCGAGTCGTTACGGAGGATGAGACGGTCTCCGTTAGTTTGAGTTGACCATTCTAACCTCGAAGAAGGATCGGAAATAACGAGGCTGCCATTAAAGAAGAGCTTCGTTTTGTGCGACCAGCTAGCTGAACGGGTCGGGTCGAGAACCCAGAGAGGATCCGTCAAGTTGTGGTGGGTTACGACGAGAGAGAGACGCGACCTGTTTACGCGTAAGAACCCGAATGAGAAGTTCCCGTTAGGGTCAGTGAGGAGAGGCTGGAACGAGTCGATGGACGGGTCCGGTTTAGCTTCAAAGCCTTTTACCAGCTCCAAAACCGGTTCGGCCGCGTTGACACGTTGCCATGTATGAGAAGAAACCAAGAAAACGGACAACAAGAGTAGAACACGAGTGAAAGAGTTTAAACACAAACCTTCCATTTTTGGAAACTTGAAATAAAGAGAGAGAAGAAAGAGATGGTGATGTTTTTTATTCGTTCATGCAGAGAGGAGACTCCACTGCATCATATACTTGAGTGTGTGTATATAACATATATATATAGAGAGAGACGTAGAATATGTTTAAAATATGTTTTGCCGGTACTAGAATATGTTAATTTGGAAAAAGAATGAAACAAAGAAAAACAATAAAAAACGGCGTCGATGTCGTGGGGGATAGAATTAAATATTCGAACCCCGATTTGAGAAAGATATGGTTTTCTGGTGGAATAAATTGGTAATCATATCAAAGTTATCAACCATTAACCATTACTCGCTAGGCGCAAATGGACCAGTTGTATATATAATGCGCTAAACCAGTTTATTTATACATATAAATATTTGAGTAAAGACAAAATTATTGCACGCACTAAGCATGTGTCAATGTCAGTATATATGATATGTGTATACATGATATCTTTGTTTATCTATAAATATTAAATATGTATATTCCAATGTGTATGTGTTTCTGTGTTTTCCTTTTCTACGATGTTCATATTACCGTAGAAAATAATAGAGTAAGAGGAATGTTTCACTGTGTTTTGTTCGTTTATCACTTATTTACGTGCGAACAGACGAGAGAAACCATCCCTAATACGGTAATACAAGTTCGCTCGTGGTTAAAACAAAATTGAATAGTCACGTGGTTATGGAAATGGGCAAAATATAATGTGTGTAAGTATCTCTTTAAAATAACTAATTTGAATATGACTGGTTTAGAGAGTGTGTACGTGGGAGATGCGAATGCTCAGAATCTCCAATTTTTTCCTATTTTTGGTAATGGGTAGGTTTTCAAAGAAGACATCAAATTTAGAAGTAGAATTTTTTAAGAAAAAACTGCGAATCGAGTTAAAGTGATTAGTGAGAAAACAGAAAAAGTTTTGCATACTATATTTTAACAAAAAGTTCTATAAAAATAAGTTTGAATTAAGGCAGAAAGATCCTAAATTCCTAATGCGATCGAGCCAGAAGATTATTAGGTGTTGAAAATTAAATGGAATTGGTAGTAATGTATTAAAAATGAAGTTAGGACAAAAGTCGCACTAAATCTAAAAGGTCAAAAGACTCAAGCTCTTCATATCTGTTCGATGTCAGGTCGTCGTTCAATCCAATCTATCTTCTGCAACTTGCAATCTTACTTACACCGCCAAAAACTTGAGGGACCGTGTGGTGATGCATACATATTTACATATGCATGTAATGAATATCGCATGAGGAGCTATGAGCTCATGTATATAAATTTGCTTGTTACGTATGCATATCACAACATATACCATTTCCCAAAATTAAGTTTGTGTTAATAAAACAGAATATATGTAAATTAGGTAAATAATAATTATCATTATACAGTATGTAGATTCATAAGATCATGTCGAACGGTTGAACACTTAAAAACGAATCAACTTCAAACCGAATAAAAATTTATCTATTGTAGTGGTGAAAGACTGAAAGTAAAGATAACAATAGATTAAGCCAATACGAGATCCAAAATATCTATTTGGTTAGATATATTTTTGCGATTCGTATCCAATAAAAGTTCACAAATGATGGTTGAGTTATTATCAGAGTCACATGGGTTGACTACGTAAAAGGGATCATTAAATGTGAGGAGTTGACTTAGTGACGGGAGGATATGTATGAATGGTGTCGTAACTAAACACATCGAAAGTCTCACCTATTGGATTTTGACTTATAAACTTTATATTTTCTTGAAATAAATATACTTTTCTTCTTTTGGATAATTGTATTTGTGTTGACATCATTTAAGTTCAACCATACAACAACTCTTTTGTTCCCTTTCGCCTCCCTCAAAAAGAATCCAAATTTTCTTACCAAATTTTATGAACGTATTTGAAAATTATTTATTTGTGGATAATATTTGTAAACTAAAGTAGCACATAGTACAAAAACATTATTTTTTCTTGATTAGATGAAAACTATAAATAATGCCATATTTATTATTTTGTACGTGATATCATTATGGGTCTCATGAAATGGTAATCAAGTGTTTGCACAGTTTTAATTTCTATACTTTCACCTCTCTTACAATAATTTCTTTTTTTTTTGGGTTCAGGGTTCTAGACTTCTGATTGTAATTAGCAAAGTCAAATATAGGTGATTAGTGATATAAATCATATTTTATGATTGTTCCCATTACTGTATAACTTTAAATAACCCCATTACTGTTTAAGCTTTTCTACGAGGACAAGCCCTGAATTCTATCATAAACACGCAATTTCCACATAAAATCTTTTTACCCACTATATAATCTCACAAAAAAAGTCTGAGTGTAATATCTTCTCGATTATAAAAAAAATGAAGACCACAAAACTAGGAATATGAAAATACCAAAGTAGTGAATAAAGACATTAGAATAGTATTTTTTTTATCGACAAAAAGAAGTAGATATTTTTTCTAAATAAGAAATAAATAGTTGATGAAATCGAAAACACTTATATGGTCAACAGCATGTATGGGACCTTTCTTCAATTGTCAAAGACAAAGACTTGTTTGGAAGGAAAACAATACTTTATATTTCTAATGAAAAAAAAAAGACTAGATCAAAAGAAATATGTATATGATTACTTATATTAAATAGGACTTATTAGGTTCGATGGACTAAATCAACCCATACCAAACAGTCAAACAGAGCACATTGTTATATTTTTCTGATTTCGGATATTTGTAGCATTTTTGTTTATGTCAAAGTGGGTGGGCTGCACCTGCACTGTTTAATTTTAATAATAATATGGGTTGCGAGATTCATCTGCAACATTATGAATTGATTGGGCCGAAAACTTAAATAAGGCCTAATAAGAAATATGGAGGAAAATGAAAAGATATATGTTGACAGTGGGATTTGAACCCACGCCCTTTCGGACCAGAACCTTAATCTGGCGCCTTAGACCAACTCGGCCATATCAACTTGTTGACATTTGGATTCATAGAACATCTATATAGACATCAAAAATATTTTGTTTTGTTTTGTTTTGTTTTTTATTTTTGTTTTATAATCGAATAAGTTTAAAATATTATAGACCTCTGGCAAAAACCCAATCAATGAGCAGATTAGACAGATTTACAAAAAATGACATGTCTGAATTATTAAAGCATAAATGATAAGGACTACCACCAAAATCGAAAGAAAGTCTCTAGCTAGGGTCTCTCTTTTCTTGTCTCTTCTTCAATCTCAATTAGTATAATGAATGGACAAAGTAGAGTTCTTGATTATCTAACACAAAGAAAAAAGATACATTACTGTATATAACTTTTCGAAACTCTTGTTAATTTCTCAAAGGTGTCGGTTTACCGCAGAAATTGTATTATTTGATAATGACTCCCATCAAGAAATCAAATTAGGCTTGTGATGGTCCCTTCCCTTTCTAAATTCTTTGTCATACATAAATCGGATTACTAGTCAAAGATATATCCAAATCCCTAAATGATGTGACTCTATGTTAAGTTACGAACTTGGACCAATAATATCATGACTAACCAGCGGCTTCTATGGATTTTAGGTTTCCATTTTTCTTGATAAATAACCTAAACATAGGTTTACAGTTTTATGAAATGTATTCACTCTAATCAATAATATCTTGTTACATTCCTCTTTGAAATCATCAACGACAAAAGGGAGATTCATGCACGATTCACATGGAACCTAAATCAAGGTGCAAACCAATTGATAAAACCAAGCAATATCCGATAATACTAAGTATATACTATCGGGGAAATGTATATATATGGATTTAGCAAAGAAATAAGAATCACACTTGAAACTGTTATATGTGAATGTGATCTAGTCTTTGAGAAAAAAGAGTTAAAACATTGATAAGTTTATATACACAAATCAAATAGACTAGGAAACAATGGAAGAAGAGACATGAGTCGTAATTTTGTGTAACGTCAAAAGAGAGTGCGTACGTTTTGCTTTTGTCATTACATTTACACAACCAACGAGGAGGAATCTTTTTCTTTTCTCGTGTGGGTGGGGGATATTGCCACTGTTGTTGTGTCAACAAAAAACAAAACTACTACGTATTGTCAAAAAAACCTATTTAATCAAGAAATTAATATGTATGATTAATTAGTTACCAAAACAATATTTTGTTCGGCAGAGGTGGAGAAGTCCTAAGTTGATTATAATCGTCATATTTTGCTGTTTCGAACTAATTTTCAGGTAATACAGTATAAATTGATTATATATGTATATATACACAACAAATGTTAATAATACAAAAATTACCTCTTATGGAAATGCGTGTAATAAGTAGTTGTCGCCTAGTTGTTTTGTCTGGTTGATGAAGTTACAAAAAAAAAAGATGGGTATATAAACGTAAATGAAACCGACCATGTGAGAGTGAGAGATCTGTACTCAATTACTCATATATAATACTCTTTTGACTTCTTCTTCTTCTTCTTGTTTATGTTTGTGTTCCACACAAAAAGTCTCTGAAACTTATTAGAAGAAAAAAATGGAAAAGAAACTTGGGATTATGGTCTTCCTTTTCGTTGTTCTTGTTCTTCACTTCTCTGAGCCTCATACGGCTCAACGTCCTTTGCAAGGGGATGACAAAGGTACACTACTCTGATCTTTATATATGTACTACTTATGCATCATGCATGTATCATATATATATGTTAGGTATAAGAAACCTTTGTTTGAGCTTTGGCAAAACTTGATTGCAGAAAACAAATGGGAACTCAATTTTTGTCAAGTATAAGGAAATCACAATTTTCCTGTTCTCTCTTGCCAATCAGTTAGAATTTTAGATATTGAATATTTTCAAAGAGTTTAATGTGATTCGTAGAACTTTCTTAAATTCAATTAAAAAAAAAATCTAGCCACAAATTTAATTTGTGAAAACTACGTAATTAATCAAGAACCATGCATATATTGTCACAAAGTTAATGTTTAAGCATTTCAACGACCCCATAAGGCCATAACTCAAATCGTAGCATGAAAGGTTAGGTTTCGGTCATCTTGCAGTGTAGTTGTGATTAATTGTAGAGACTGCTACCTAGAACCAATTTTGGTTGTAGATCCTCAATGACAATGAGTGACAAAAAGGATATATATAATAGTTCTTCTTGTTAAAATCTACTAGACTATTTTTCTGACCAATTTTTTACATTGTTGTAAAAGATGAAGGAAACAAGAATGATAATTGGATTTGGGCTAAGGCTACACAAGCAGATAAGGCTTTTGACCAAGAATTATCGCAGGTAAATATTTTTTTTTATTGATCTTTTTTAATTGTTTATCCAATTTTCACTCCTACTAGTACAGCTTGTTATTAGTAAATTAAAAATTTTATATTTTCTTGTGAATTGTGTGGTGCAATGATGAAGCTGATGGGGGAAGAGGAGAAGTGTGAGGAGAGGGATGAAGAGTGTATGAAGAGAAGGATGATCACTGAAACTCACTTAGACTACATCTACACTCAAAGCCACCACAAGCCTTAACCATCCCCAACCCTCTTTATTTATTTTATTTATGCATTATATTATTATTATTATTATGTGAAACTTAAAATAAAGTTTTAGACTGGGAAATACTAGTAATCCAAAAACTATAGAAGCATTAATATTTTATATCGTGGCAGCAAAATATAAATGTAAAAAAATAAAAAGATGTATTTCCTTTTTCTTTTTGATTTTGCTTATTCCTTTACATACATTATATATAAAGGGTTAGAGGCAAAGGAACAGTTGGAGAAGAGAGAAAACAAAGCAGAGTTGGAGTTATGCAGGGGAAGAATCCAGTTCCAGCGGACATGGTGTTCGAGATTCTGTCGAGGTTGCCTGCGAAATCTATAGGCAGGTTCGTTTGCGTATCAAAGTTATGGGCAAGCATCGTCCGCTGTGAGGATTTCGTCAGATGGTTCTCGTTACGGTCTCACTCAAAGAAGCAGCAGCCTCTTTGCTTCTTCTTTGCTTTCACTGATAGAATAAAAGTGTTTTGTCAAGAAAACTGCAAAGCAGAGTTGGAGACGGTGCAGAAGAAGACTCCACTTCCCGAGAGGATGATACAGTGTAGATATCCTGACGAGGCTGCCTTTGAAATCTATAGGCAGGTTCATTTACGTATCCAAGTCATGGGCAAACACCTTCCACTCTGTGCAATTAATCGAGCAGTATCCCTTCCGCTATGCCTCCAATGATAGAAGAATAACAGGTTATCAAGAAAACTGGCACTTTTTCTCCAAACCAACTCGTCCAGGTCCTCATGTAGCGGAAGAGGAGAAGAAACCACCTCCTGAGTTTCTATCAAATACGGTGTGTCACTCCAAGGAAGTCCGTTATAAGGAGCCTAGTTATGTCCATGGGTTGATCAGTTTTTATAATGGCCAAGAACAAGTCGTGTGTAATCCCACAACTGGTCAATCCATAAGCTTACCAACTCTCAACTCCACTGATTGCATCGTCAGATCCTTTTTAGGATATGATCCAATCCATGCCCGATACAAAGTCTTGTGCTTGACCAATGTTACTCGGTTCTGTGACCATCAAGTCCTCACATTGGGAGGAGCTCAATCTTGGAGAACGATCCAATGCTCCACTCCTCACCGTCCCTTAGGAACTGACTCTGTCTGCATAGACGGCGTTTTATATTACACTGCCTCCGGTTCCTTTACCATCACGGAACCACTCTTGATAAGATTTGATTTGAGGTCTGAAACTTTGGAAATTGCTTCCAGACTTCCCCAGGGCATGGGATCTGATAAGTTGCACGAAACAACTTTCATAAACTACCATGGGAAAGTAGCTCTTGTCACTCAAGTGCACCAACGCTACACTTTCACTTTCACTTTCACTTTGTGGGTTCTAGAGGACGCCAAGAAACAAGATTGGTCGATACAACGCCTATCGTTCTCTCTAAATGGTACTGACAGGCAATGCCATTCCGGTCTGAAAATGTTGGGCGTTTCTGAAACGGGAGAGTTTGTCTATGCACCAAATGAGGCTAAAGAGCTGCAAGGAAACACCGAACATAAGTTTAGAGATTTTGATAACGTATTTACTTTCTTACATCACGTAGAAAGTCTTATGTTTATTTAGAGAGGGATAGAGAGAGTTTCATGTTGCTGCTTCTAAGCCTTCTCCTTTTCAACTAGTTTGTTCTAAGCTTTTACTATGTATGAGTCTTTTATCTTTGTTCTCACTAAAACACAGACTCAAAGAAATAATTTGAGGGTGAAAATTCATGTCACTAAAGTCTATTACTTGAAAATTGTAAATGGTATGAAGACACAAAACATACCACTAAAAGCAAAGGAGAGGAAGAAGAAGATACAAAGAGAGGGAAGGAGCTTTTGCATTCGTACCTGGGACATGCATGATTGTGGAGATTAAACCAGACAGCTTTAGAAAAAGGACTCCACAAAGATACGTCGCTCCACACCTGCAAACATTTGATTACTCCAGCAGATAAAAAAACCAAAGATTCAGATAAACACATAGTTTTTTGTAATCCTTCAAAATAAATGCAAAAAAAAGACCTAGGTTCTGAATAAGAAAAGGCACAATCAAACTCATTATTATTATTATATGCATAAGAGTGCATTCAAAATGAATAATGAATTAATAGTTCACCCGATTATAAACGGGTTTCTGGTCTAAACTATATATGAAAAGCTATTAAGGATCATCCATTGGCGTATTATCATCATCACCAGTTGGCCAGTTGAATCCATTCTCTGTGATTCCTGCAGCAAATTGTTCCCAGTAGACATCAGGCAAACCACCACTTGCTGTTTCTGCAACAAAACCAAACTCCGAGACATCACTATAGTCCATTGTGTTTCCCCATACATCGGTGTTGCCGAAACTCGGTATTGTAGTATCGAAACCCATGCTCCATGTCTCTTCTTGTTTGATAAGTCCTTCAGGAGATGGGAAGGACATCAAGTAATCTGGTTTTGTCATCTCTTCCTCTGATATATTCATCAAGTTCTTGCCTTTCGGATCGGTTCCTCCTACGCTTGAAGTCATCCCTTGTTGGCCAGAGAGTGGAGTTTTCTCAGTCTCTTCGTCATACATTAGCAATCTCTCCCAATCATCAGCTTCATACTTCACCATCTCCGCTCCTGTTGGAGAATCCTGAGGCTGCTGATGCTTGATGAACTTCCTTCTGGCCTTTTCCAATCCGAGTGCTCCTTTTTCTCTTCCTTTGAGGTTCTTCAGGCGTTCCAAGAAAGCCGGGTTCTGAAACAACTTAGCCAAGAAAGAGAGCAACTGCTTCTGACGTTGCTCTGCAGCTTTCAGCCTCTGGTTCACAGCGTCTACATGGCGAGCTGTGCCTTTGCTTTGCTGCTGAAGCTCTACCATTTCCTCCATCAATGCACGCCGCTCTTTCCTAAGTTTCTCGATCTCTCCTCCAACCTCAGTAGGTGACCCTTGGCTTTGGTTGCAGCTACTAGTGCAAGTTTGGTTGGATTGTGGTGATCGACGACGATGAATGTTCTTGAGAAGATGTTTCTTGCCTCTAAGGAAGGCCTCGTTAGCGAATTCCCATTTGTCAGTATCAATCTTTCGAAATCCCTGGAAACATTCCAACCCCAAGAACAACTCAAAAAAGCTCAAGAATCAAGTAAGAGAACAACCAGAATTTTACATGAAGATCATACGAGCAGATTGCAATCCAAATATCTCAAAGGTTTGTGTAATAATAACTTAGAAGATTCTACCTTTTAAGAGTGAAGACAACATTGTAAGAAAATAACAAAACATTACTACATTAGAACACGAAACCATAATTATACAAAGAGTATCTCGGTCAAGTCAGATGACAAGTTGATATAACATCCAAGCCAAAATTTGATAGATACAAAATATTCAGTGTTACATGGGTAGAGATATTGAACAAATCCCAAAAAAAAAGAAACAAGATTACAGGTATGTTTTACAAGTTATCCAAAATTACAGTTTCAAGAATCTATACAAAAAAAAGGGTTATTGAGTATCATCAAAAAGATTACAGAAACATACAAACCAAAAAAAGAAAGAAGAAGCATCCATCTATCTATCTACAAAAGAAAACAAGAGCATAAAAGAGATTAGAAGATAAAAGGGAAGAGAGTGAATCATAGTGAATGATACCGACATAAGTGTTAAGCTGTCTGACGAAGCTGGAGAAATTGTTATGTTTGAAATTCATAGGGAGAATGGTTCTGGCGAACTCGAGAGGATCCCAAACGACGAAGCTGGCACCGGCGAGTCCCCAAGAGATGACAGGGTCAAGGCTGGGGTCATCCACCAAATCAAAAGTCTTGGACAAAAAGGGCGGAACTTGATTCGCTTGCAACAAGTCAAGTGGCGTAGGAGGGAGTGGAGGAGTAGAGCCAGAGAAACCCATGATGTCAGAAGTGTCGTCGACGCAGTCTGAGTAGAGAGACCCCGGTACTGAAATTGGACTTGGTTTAGGAAAATCATATTTTTTGGGGCTCATTTGAAAAAAGAAAGGAATATTTAACGGGTTTAGTAAAGGGGGGTTAATTAAGGGGGGATTTAAGACAAGTATTAGTAGGAGAAGGGAAGAGATGAAGGGTTTATAAAGGTTTAGGGGGGGAGAGGAAGGAAGGAAGTAACCGACAAACTGTAGATTGGGGGAAAAAATCTCTCTGGGTGGTGGGGAGGGAAAAGAGAGGCGGTGGGATGGGTGGGTCAGTTTTGCGCCACCGTGGATTCATCTTCTTCGGTGTGATTCGTTGGTTCTTTTTGGGTAATGGGGGCAGATGAGATGATGAAGAGATTTGTGACAGAGAAATCAACAACAAATTTAAACACACCGACATTTGAATGTCTTTTTTCAAGTTGTTTCCTTCCTTGCAGCTTCGCTTTTTTTTTAGCTCTCTCTCTCTCTCTGTCTGTCTCTGTGATCTTTTTTTTTTTTTTTTGATCAAAGTGTCTCTGTGATCTTATTATAGATATTTTTAAATAAAAGGAGTGATTTAGCTTCTTTGCCATGTCAGCTTTCTTTATTTGGGCCCCCACGAACCATTACATAGATTCGCTTCTCGCGATTTTTTAAAATATATTTTGTTGTGAATTACTTTAGAGAGAGGGAGTCCTATAATTTAATTTACGCCATCCCATTGGTTACCAATCCAATCCATCAAACCCATTTATATGAAATCTGGTTATGTCGTTTTCATTTGTGGAGGTCAAAATTTTTACTTATAAGCGAAGGCAAATATAAAACGATTAGATATTTTTCAGTTTCAATTCCATGTGTTCAACGATTCAGGAGATATTTTGGACAGAGAGTGTTGTTTTCTATTTCGTTTCTGTTTGTGTATACTACTACTTTTTAAGTCCGGCAGACTAATCAATCGCATGGTCGAGAAAAGGATCAAGTATGTAAAATCCAATGAATTACATATTTTGAGTTTGCAAAAACCAACCCCTTTTGACAGCAGAGCATTTCGCAGCTGCTCACTTCTTTAATCACGCTTAGTAAAACTAATTTAGCGGTATAAAATCAATGTACAACCAAGTTAATTTCATATAACTTAAAACGTCCATTTACTACAACAGACAAAATATTGCTCACCCTTTTGGGACTTTGACTAGAATCGATATATTCCCACCAATCACTCTTTCCATTACTACATTTTCTTTTCTTTCCTCCCTGTGACAATCAATAGTCATGTACATTTTTAACAATCTGCAACATTAAAAAGAGAAGAACAAAACAGCAGACGAAGAACCGCATTGTAGGATATGATTTGTGATAGCTCATGCGGAATGTACCTTAAAAAGCTAATCTTAACTAGTGTCTCCCTCCTGGGCAGCAAAAGAATGCTGAGAGTATATGTGCATGTCATCATTACAAATCCGTGCGGTTGGGCGGAGGAACCGCTGATTTGATTAATGGTCTTAGCAAGTCCATTATAGTTGCAAACGATGGACGCTTCCATGGCTCACTATAGCAATGAAACATATGCATTAACATGAAGTCTATTTGAGGAGAGTCAAAAAAGAAGGTTTCAAACAAGAGAAAAAAAATCTTAACGTACTTGGTCCAACAACCCTCAATTATGGCTGCAACCTGAGGATTCAGATTCCGCGGGATCTCAAGCCGTTTACACTTGAAACCAACCGCAGCTACAACCTATGGAGCATTTTTTTTTTTTGTTATGATCATATAGCATGTTATGGAATGTAGACTGAGTAACTTTCAAACCCAGAATAGATTATTATCATCGAGATGTTTTAGAGTAAAAAGTACCTGAGCCGGGTTTAAATTACCCCATGGTTGTTGCAATGTAGCAAGCTCCCACAGTATGACCCCGAAACTGTACACATCTGACTTTTCATTAGATGGCTCATCTCGCAGGACTTCTGGTGCCATCCACTCCGGCTGATATAACAGACACAGTAATTATCTAACTTCCACTGGACAAGTAATTATATAAGGCAGATAGGAATTAAGTAATTCAGCTTGTTTTTAGCCTTAAACAAACTGAACTTACAGTTCCTGCCGCTGACTTTGATGAAAGAAACGTGCTGGCTTTTAATCGCGAGAGACCAAAATCACAGACCTGAAATTTCATGACGATTTGAGGAGTTAGGAAAATAGTGTTTTGCAAGACAGATGATTTTTTAAGACGACAGTTTTGAGACTGCTTTTTTTTTTTCAAGTTGCATCAGATTTTTACAATTTCTCCGAGATGATTCAGTATTTAAAAATAACTATTTCGGATTCAGATTAAACCTTGACTGTATATTTTTTGTCAACTAACAGGTTTGGAGATTTTAGATCTCTATGCACAATCGGAGGGTTTCGATTGTGAAGATAATTCATTCCCTTAGCCTGCAACAGAAAATTGTGAAGAAACACCAAGATCAGCAAGCAATCAACTTCATTTGTACCAATACATGTAAAGGAGATAAAACATACCACATCATAAGCCATACTCAGGCGACGTCTCTCATCTAATTGCTCCCTTGCTCCACTTTTATGCAAAAGTCTGTATAAACTACCTCTGAAAGAAAGTATGGTGTTAGCGTCATTAAAGGCTAAAATTCTACCTACACTCAGCACATAAAATTTTCAAAATCCAGGTAACTGTACCTTGACAAATATTCCGTCACTATTGACAAATTTGGAGGCTGAGTGACCGCACCCATGAAGAGAACAATGTTAGGGTGGCGAAGGCGTTTCATTATTGCAACCTGACAGCAAATCAAGATCGTGGAAGGCATCAATACACTAACTCACCAAGTCTATTATCAAAATCACGAGTGAATTTTAATTGTGCACCTCTCTTAAGAACTCGTTGACACGCTCAGCATGGAAGTCTTGCTCCATGAGAATTTTCACAGCCACATCCTGAAATTGGTAGAAAATATTACTGCAATAATCAAAATCAATATTTTTCTCGTAATAGCATTGGAAAATTCAAACAGGATGACAAATTTATAATAGATCAGACAGATTAAACAGTTATGCCTTTTTAACACCAAAAAGATCCAAAAGTCACAAGCATATTTATAGAGCGAAAAGAAAAACTGTGTACAATTACGGCAAAAAAATTCTTACCGAACCATGCCACTCAGCACGGTGGACAGTGCCAAAGGAACCTGAAAGAGCAGTAGCTCAAATCAGAGTGGAAAGATTAAGGTAACAGAGATAAATGTAATCTCAAAACGGGAGGCACTTTTCTTATTTTGTTCGAGAACAGAGTCCAAAGCAAAACCACTTACTCAAGAACTTCACATTTCTTTACGTTCAAAGACTAAATCACTAGTTTTTTGGTAAAATAAAATACCTGCTCCAATCTTCTCTTTTATATTAAGATCACACCACGGGATGTCCATATCATCACCATCAAGTCCAAGATCCCTGTTTGCCCTGTTCGGAACAGGCTGATTAATTGGTGGGGCATTCATAGGTACTGCTTCTACTTGATTTGTCGCACGCATCATATTCTGTGGAGGTGGCAAAGATCCACCACCATTTTCTGCCAATGCGTCATTATCTCCACCAGGATTATCATATTGCCTATGAAACATTGAGAATCCCATATCATCTACAACCATTCAAACAAGGAGATATAAGAAATCAGAGTCTAGAAGACAAGTCTTGCACATAAATGCACTAGAACTGATATGCTTGAATAGCAGTCTAACAAGTTAATAACGGGATTACCTGATGCAGGATCGAAAACAAGATTGAGAGACTGGCTGTCAGTGAAATACTGTTTAGCTAGTAACCGAAAATCGACTGCGGGTTCAACCGGCTTGGGTCGCGGAAACCGTAAAGGTGAAGAAATTGAAATTGATGAAGGACCATTTAGCAAGGAATCGGGCTCCCATAAGTGACCTGGCTTCCCTACTAAATCAACCAGGTACTCCCTGAAACCAAAACAAAATTTCCAGGTCATCAACCCAATATTTGAGAAACATATTTGGACTACAATTATTTAACAGAAACAAAAAGCATATGCAAATAGGAAAATAAAAGCTCTTTCGCAATCACTTGTATCTCATACCTATCAAGCCCAAACCTGACAAGGCATGATGCAGCATCGTCTCTATTACAATATTTGCATCCCTTTGCAATTCGACAGGGTAAATCAATAATATCAGCCAGCACCTGCATGCACCAAATGGCATGTGTGAACACTTCGTTTTCAGTTAACACATTCAACTACAAGTAACATGGCTTTTTCTAGCCAATAACTCCACTTTTTCCAAACAACTTTTTCACATGTACTATACAAACAAATGGATGACGCAGACTAATTATATGATCATTCAAAAGTTAAATCTTAAATGTGAAGGCGATAGCATCAAAGTTGGGATCTCACTTTGAAGAGTAAAGCTCGATGTCTGCAGAGTCCAACAGAGAGGCTACCTATGGGAACCACCACTTTAAAGATTTCTTTTAGACCATCAATGCAGTCCTTCCACATAGGAACCAACTCATCTTCCCCCATGATAACTGGACCCCTGAAGGAGAGGAGAATCAATGATTACCAAGCAATGTGACAAGTCAAGGGAAGATATAAATTTATAACTTCAACATCATTGTAAGGATTTGTGAGTACAAACCCCATACGATTGCAGATAAGCTTTGCCAGCTGATCAACAACCTCTTTTGTGGTGATGCAGCTACAAGATATGTCGTGGACTCTATTGTGAAGTTCCTTGAAGGCTGGATCACTACGCCTATCGACTATGATCGCTTCAAGCGAAGAGTCAACACCGGATTCAACAGCTCTCAATGATTCAATGGAAGGGATGCGGCCACTTTCATGCAGATCAATGCATAAGGTCCAAATATATGGATCCAGACCATTCATCATATAAAACCCATCAGGAACTTTATCATAGTACGATAAACAGCCATTGACCTGATGCAGTACACAAAGCAATCATACTCTGTTAAGCAATTCACCTAAACAACATATCTCATATACTACTAATAGACTTTTTCTCTTTCTCATTCAGTCTCAATTCACAAAAAGCACATCTTAGGAAATAAGAACTGCCAACAAACAAAAATACTAATCAACTGCATTGTTCCCTGCATAATTTCCATTGGCTCATACACCATGGCATCTACACCTTTAAATCATTAGAATAAGCAATTACATTCTTACAGCTCTTGCAGAGCTTCCTATTATTGAGCCCCAGGCAATGGGAGACAGCAGTTTCAAGATATAATCCCCACAAACGGCAAGAAGTATTTCCTACAGTCCATATCTGATAGCATACATATTGATCATTTCAACCTCTAAACCTTCAAAACAACTCCTGAAGCATCCGAAAGTCTTAACAACCATTCTGCAATAACGTCTGAAGCTAAAGAATTCAAAAATTCCCAGATCTCTCTACTAATTCCGTTGGATCTTTCAATTAAAATCCTCACAAGTGTAAACCACGATTCAAGAATTTTGTGAAACAAAGCTAAACAGAAACGAACAAAAGGCAATCAAACCAATACCCAGAAACGATGTGAAACGGTTTCGGCTGAACTTGGGGAAGTTCGCAAAGCAGACTCATCCGGCACAGGATCGAGAAAGTTGGGATCATCAGCGCAAGTAGCCTCCGAGGAAAGCCGTAACGCCAATGCAAGCTGCAACTGATAACTCTCCTCCGTCTGCTGCGCCCAGCTCTTCCCAGATGACGAACCCCCAGCCGATTCAGCCGTCATCTGAACCCTCAAATCTCCTCCACCACCACCAAACCCAAGCCTAAACCCATCATCTTGAGGAAACCCAATAGATTCGATCTCGTTGGTGGCAGCAGAAAGCGTAGGCATATAATAATCCCCAGACAAAGAGCTCTCACCAAAACTACTCCCACTCGATTGCCTCTGTAACCCAAGCGAGGAAGCATACATATTATTCCCAACCCGATTCGGCTGATTACTCAACCTATGATCAGCAGCAGCAGCACCACCGCTAGGATCCCAATCAAATCCGCCTCTATCCGCCTTATTTTTCGCGTTGTTCCCGCTGTTATTGTTGCTGGCGCTCCTGTTGTCGCTGGATAAAGAGTCATAGTGCGGCGGAGGAGCTCCGGTGACGGAAACAGAGACCTGATCGTCAGGAAATTGACTAAGCAAAGTGTAATTAGATCTTCTACCGGGCATTTCCATGGAAGTTAGCGCGATCTAGAAGAGTGGTTTCTCCGATCATATAAGCTTCAAACCCTAGGAAACCGCCATTGTTGAAGAAAGTTCGGCTGAGCCACTTGTTTCTCTCTCTAGTTTTTCATATATATTTTTTCTTTCTTCTTCTTCTTCTTCTTTCTTCTTACCTTTTTTAAAAAAATAAAAACTTCTCTCTCTCTCTAATGTAATTAGAAACTGTGAACTTTTTACTTACTCGGTGGCGTTTCTGTTGATAATTTCGTGATATTCCCTCCCATGTCCTCCTTTTTATGGTAACTTTTACATTTTCTTTTTTGTTATAAATTAACCTTTTTTAATCCACTAGCCCTGGGCATATAATCCGGATCCGAAAAAACCGATCCGAACCGATCCGAAAAATCCGATTTGGATCGGTTTCGGTTACTATGTAAAAACCGATCGGATTTTATGTTGAACATGATTCGGATTTCGGATTTAAACCGATCCAAACCGAAATCCGATCGGTTATCTGCTAACCCGAATACACATGGTCTAATACATCACATAGTATACATATAATCTCTATGTTTTTGTACTTCAACGCTCAAACCTCTTTTTTACGTCGGATTGTTCGGATTTAGAGTGTAAGTTTCGGATTTATAGTGTAGAATCCGAATCCGAAACCGATCCGAAATATGATTCGGTTTAAACTCGGATTTGTAATAAAATTTGAAAACCGATCCGAATCCGAAAAAATCCGAACCGATCCGATCCGAAAACCAGTCGGATTCAAATCGGATTCTATATATCCCAATCCGAAAAATCCGAACTCCGAATAATCCGATCCGATCCGATCCGAAAATCCGAACGCCCAGGGCTATAATCCACCATATACTACTACTACATATTATTGTAAATATCCATCTTTTTTCCACAAACAAAAATCAAAAATTAATCTTCTGTTAAGAAAATAATACCTGAATAGCTTATGTTTAATTTTGAACTATTGATTTTTCGTGTATTAATATTTTGATGTGAATGCAAATTGAGGTTGGAAGATAAAGAACAATGTAAACATACATTACTAAAAGAGGAACATGCCCACGTGTAATTAGACTAACTTTTTTTTTTTTTTTTTTTTTTGAACTAAGTAATAAGACTAACTAAACCATGTTGCTCTCTCATAAGATCCAAGTATATATTTTTCTACTTCTACCTATGGATTCGAAATTACATATGTCTGCAACAGTTTTGGTAATGTTTCTTATACCAATCTGAATCCATTTTGAAAAGCTTTTTGTATGTCTATGATATATTCAGCATGAGAAAGTTCATTGTATATATGATAGTATAAAGAAAGAATAGCAAAATATTGATTGGAAAGTGAAGGAATGGACTATAAAAAGATAGATATTAAGGGGTTGAGGGGGATGTATTCGTGTATGCAAAAATAAAAATGGATGGGCTCTTGTGTCTTTCTATTCATTCATTCATTTGTCTATTTTCAAACATTCGTATATGTATGCCTCTGTCTATGACTTCTTCTACCATGCATGCATCTTCAACATCTTTCTTTTTCTTCTGTTTCGTTTTCTTCTCTTTATGTTTGAGTCGTTTGACAAACATTAGGAATGCTTACATCTTTCAGAACTAATCAATAATGTACAAGTTTGATCAGTAAAACAAATAAGTTGTATATAATAGTATATATTTTAATAAACTGACGTGAACAATGTTAAAACACTATCGTATAAAAAAGGAAATTCTACTTTTCGTTTTTGTATCTTTGATCTTGGAAACAGCACCACCTTAAACATCTTTAATAATATGTTGATTAACATTAATACGACAAACACTTCAACACTAGCTAGTGTTGAAAGAAAGAAAGTAAAAAAAGCCGTAATGTTGTGTTTACAGTGAGCTTGAAAGTGGATAACAGTACACACTATATACGATCTGTAAAACTTGAAAAGTAAAGGTTAATATGTATGAAACTGTTTAAATATAATGAAATTAAGTCAATATCAAATTTCTTTTATATCCCCTAAAGATATTTCAGATTCTTCCGGATAGTCAAATGAGCTGTCGTTAATTTAGCAATCAAGTTATCAACGCAACTTGGACAAATAAAATAAACTATTTAAATATTTTATATCATTGATCAACAGTACTAAGGTTCATCGAATACTTCCAGGTTCATGCACTCAACTCTTTTTTTTTTTTTTTTTTTTTTGTCATTAAGTTATTTTCTTAGCCATAGATTTTTTTTTTCCAGTAACTTGCTTCTTTTATTTCTTTTGTATTTTTTGAAAGCTTTGAGTGACATCTTTAAAATTCCAAAAATATCATCACGGCTGCTATAATATATGAAAGTAGGTCGTGGAATATTTAAGATAAAACTATTTGGGTTACGTATTGTACTACCTTTTTAAAATTCTTAATAAAACATATTTGGGTTACTTATTACTACAAATACATTAGTAAAACACATATTCTGCCAAATAAAATCGAATAAAATTCGCGTGCTCATAGTTTAGGGTTTGAAGTCTGAACAATGTTCTTGATTCATACCAATACTCCTAACAAATCTAGGTAGACACAACAAGATAGAGGCATCGAGTAGATCTAGCTATCTACTAGATGTCTACATGTATATTGTACTTAATACAAAATGTAAATATATATAATCATTAGTTAGTTGCGATGATTAAAGACTTTGGCAGTCTATTGTTTGCTTAATTCCCACTCGTGCAACTATCCATTTAATTATTCCTCCTTGGACCGTACTTAGTGGTATCATTTATACTCTCCATAGATTTTGTTAACTCGTTTCTTCTCTATATGGATTACAAAAACAAATCTTTCTGAATTTGTTGTTTTGCATGCATAGTAAGAAAAAAAATTATAAACAGCTTTTACTAAACGAGGGCATTAAGGTAAATGATGCTCTCCATGAATATACCGCCTGACCAAACGGAAAAAACGGAAGTCTCCGTCAGTCAGATAAGTCCGTTATAATCTGGCCTTACACCGTTAAATTCAAAATATTTCAAAAGAGCCTTATTAAGGATGGGCTTATATTATGGGTTTCAAAAGCATAGGCCCAATAAAAGAACAGTTCACACAACCCATCGAGCGGTCCGCGTAACAGAGAATCACTAAACTCCCTTCGGCTGACTGATAAATAAATTGTTTGGCCTTCACTTGACGCCCTAAAACCGCTCCGGAGTGACGAATCGCTCTAATCTTCTTCTAGAACCTTCTTCTTCGTCGCCTTCTCAGGTCACTTCTTCTCACGACGATGGAGTTCTGGGGTAAACACCTTTCCAATCTTACTTCTTCTTCGTTCTGTACGCTTCGTTTCCTGCATTTAGGGTTTTTCATCTTCTGGTTTCACAACTTTATTTTTTTCGTTCTCCATGAGTTTCCACTGTTTTTTCTCCGGAATCGTCTCGTTATCTGTTCAGAAGAGCAACGAGAGATGAGATTTAGTCAGTTCGTATGATATTTGGTATTTGGACTGTTCGTCTTCTTAGAAATTAGGGTAAAACTGGAAAGTTTTTCTATCTCTTTAGGGTTTAGCTCCGATATTTCTAGTTTCGTTACTGAAATTGATGACAAAATTGAGTAGAGGCTTTGCTATTCCATGTCTTGGGGATTTGGTACTTTTGAATGGTCTGAAATTATGGGTTTGTGGCAGATTTGTTGATTTTTTTTCCGGTTCTGTTGTACTATTTATGGGTTTCAGGTGTTGAAGTTAAGCAGGGCGCACCACTTCATGTGGATCCTGGGGTAGATATGCTCGTGCACATCTCACAGGTACTGTTGAATTGCGAGCTTGATTTGAGTTGTGACAGTGTATTTTACAGTGTCGTATTTTGGTTTATCTTATCGCAGGCTGCTTTGGGAGAGAATAAGAACAATGTAAACGAACCCATCAAGCTTTACCTGAGAGTTAAAGATAAAAAGCATATCATTGGGGTGCTATCTCATGACAAGATTCCTCAGCTGGCCACGGAGATTGTGTTGGAAAGGAATTTTGAGCTGTCTCACAGTTGGAAGAATGGCAGCGTTTTCTTCTCTGGTTACAAAGTTGATGCATCTGATCCATATCCTTTACTCTTTCGATATCTGTTGTTAATGCTTAAACCCTTCTTGATGACTATGATTTTGGAAACCTTTGTTTTGCTCTTTTATTTCCTTGACTCTCTTGTCCATCTCACTGAGAATGAGAATATGACTGATGATGGTCTCGCGGTTGCTAGTAACGAAGGTGAGTTTTATATCTAGTCCTGCTATGTTTTGTCTCCAGCTGTCTAATTTTTTTTTTTTTTTAATAACATCAATCTCTTACACTTTGATGTGGTCTTAGCTGAGCCAGCTGTTGCAAAATCAGGTGTGAAACAGGTGAACTTTCAGTTGCCAAATGAAGATGTCCAAGCCAAGCAAGATGATGACGATGATGATAGTGAGGATGATTCTTCAGATGATGATGATGATGACTCTTCTGAAGAATCTGGAGACGAGGAGGTACTTCTGTCTATGAACTACTAGCTTAATTTGCTGTAGAATTTAACTTAAGCTGATTGACATTTGTGTTTGTATTTGCTACATGAACCATTAATGTGTATTTTGTTCTATCCCAATCTCTTAATTCTTTAATCCTTATCATTGCTGCTTTGTCTCAGGAAAAGACGGTTACTGCTGAAGGTGACAGTGATGAAGATGACTCATCAGACGACGATGAAGAGGACTCATCAGAGGAGGACACCCCAATAAAGGTAACTTGATATTCTCTTTATATTTGTTCAGTCTTATTACCCTTATTTTGTGAGTAATATCATTGCTTCTGTGATTCAAACTGAAACCTGATTCTAAATTTTCTTGGTTTATAAAAAGCCTGAGGAACCCAAGAAGAGGTCTGCAGAAGCCAACTCCTCAAAGAACACTGCTTCCAACAAGAAGGCTAAGTTTGTAACTCCCCAGAAATCAGGTGATTAAATCCTTTTTATCTAGATCCCCATTGAATCAATGTTTTACAGAGAGAAAGATGGATTGGTTTAATTGCATACGTTGTGCCAATAAAACAGAGTCTAAGAAGCCGCATGTCCACGTTGCAACTCCTCATCCATCAAAACAGGCGGGTAAGAATTCTGGTGGAAGCAGCAATGGAGAGTCGTTGAAGCAGCAGCAGACACCAAAGTCTCCAAGTCATGGGTGCAAGTCATGCACGAGAAGCTTTACTTCGGAAATGGCATTGCAGTCTCACACAAAGGCAAAACACAGTGCGGCTGCTTGAAAATCATAAGAAGAAGAAGAAGCTCTATGACTCTAGTCGTTATAATCTCTACTTAAGAAGTTTGTTGATGCCTTTTGGTGTTCAAAACTGGAACTTGCGAGTGAGCCAGTTTTAGTTGGTCTTTTTTTCCTCAGGCGTTTGAACTTTTTTCTTAATCGTTTCGGTACTTGAAACTTTGCTAAACCTTTGTTTGTGTTTAGTGCTAATATGGATATATATTATTTATTAGAGTCTTTATGGAGGTTTCTACTTAACCACCTGATTTTAAAATTCTTTTAACAAAAACTTAAAAAATTTGAAGATTGGTTAGCAATTCGTTTATCCAAAAGGGTTAAGGTTTACTCAATGGGCTCGACTGTCAAGGGTTGTAGATATCAATAGGTTATGAAGAGATGATTAACAACAAGCAGGTTTGCCCGAGTGGTTAAGGGGGAAGACTTAAGTTCTTCTGCACATAAGTGCGCGTGGGTTCGAACCCCACAGCCTGCATTTATCGTTATTTATTTTTGATTAAATTTAAAATATACTTTTGTGATTTTTGTATATTTCCTGATTTTAAATACAACCAAATCATACCAAGAATGAAACTTTTCTCCTTATGGTTTCCATTTTTCATTGACTTTTGTGTAAATTTCCTTTTTATTTGTTAGTTTCCTTTCTTTTCTTTTTACCCTGCCTTGTCTATATTTTACCCTTTTTATAATTGGTATTAGCTTTTAGAATCTGTAGCAGAAACTAATTGTTTAATGTCAGAAGCAGAACAAAACAAGAAGTCACACTTGAAATGCTTGTTTCTTTATAACTTTTCAACACTACTGAATCTTTTGAGAGTTGTTTACAAGACAAGACTCCATGAAATTGGATAATGGCTGACCATTACCAGTTGAGAGTTCTTTGGTCTTGCGATAAGTCAACAAATAATCTAAATGCCTTTGAGGAACCTGAAAAATCCCTTCAAAGTATATTTCTTCTTTACTATTAAGTATCCATATCTTCAACACTACACACACCATTTTCTGTAACAGTGGTATCATCAAATCTCTCTCTATTCACACCAACAAGAATTTTAAATAGCCAAACCAAAAAAAGAAAAAGAAAAAAGAAAATCATCTTTTTATTCTCGAGCGTCCCATCACTCGAAAAACTCCTTTTTCCCTTCAATGGTTAGGCACAATCGTTCCAATTTGCCCAAATCCCGCAATGAAGAAGGCGATTGCTTGCGCGAAAAGGTATATATAATAATGATTCTTTCCAAAAAACGCGTCATAACATCCCACAAATAGCAGATACATTCCTACACCGAGTTCCAACACATGAATTCTGCGCCATAACACACACACACACAAAAAGCACTATTAGAATTGGTTCTGTTACGCTTCAACACTAATTAATCAGAATCAAATTGAAAGAACCGGTTTGGTTCAAAGGGTAAGAATGAATGTATTTACCTATCTCCGAATCTAAAACGAAGAATCTTCTTTGGAGCCTTGGCCGATTTAGCCTTAAGATCTCCGAGCTTCTCAGTAACAATCCACTCGTTAACTCTTCCTCCTTCGAGTAAACCGATGAATGTAGCTTTAGTTCTGTGAAGAGACATCACATTCTCGAACAGAATCCAAAACACCATAAGATGCAGTGACCTATATAAGAAGACAAATGTAAACCAACAATAAGATCCTGAAATCAACACTTGAGCCGCAAGAAACTCTCGGGAACTGTTTTTACCTCGGTGTCCCGACAGCGTTGAGCAGGGTAATCACTGAAGGAATGTAAACAGCTCCCCATTTAGGAACTGAAACTTCCGGTACAAGAACCGTGGCTGGTAAGACCACACAGTAGAAGATGAAAGTAACAATGTGTGCCACTATCTTTCTAACAACAAAGAAGCTATATATCACATGAACTTTCTTCCATAATGTCACGTTCTGCCAAAAAAAGAAAAGAAAATAAAAATCCCGGTTTAGTTTGGTTATCTTGTATACGTAAAAAGCTTCTGAATTGTCTAGAGGGTTCCGAAGGAAACCTTATTGGTCATGATTTCGAATGCCATTTTCCTGAAAAGATTAGCTGGACCACATGACCATCTGTGCTGTTGATACCTATATGCCTTAAATGTACTCGGCAACTCGTTTTTAACCTATAGTAGTTAAAACCCATGTAAATTATATTGTTTTACAAATCAACATATAAATCTATGATGAAAATAGTAAGTATGTACCTTGAGAGAACCGAGGTACAAGAATTTCCAACCCTTGAGACTAGCACGCACGGCCAAATCCATATCTTCCACGGTCGTTCTATCTTTCCAGCCACCAGCTTCGTTCAATGCAGATATTCTCCATATTCCCGCAGTCCCTATATAACATTACCGTAACCAAAACACATTACTATGAATGAAACTCAAAGATGTTTGTTCTAAAATAAAAAAAAATTAGAAATAATATTTAGAAAATTTATAAAATAGAGTGTATAGTACCGTTGAATCCGAAGAAAGCGTAAGTAGAAGAACCAACTTCTTGTTCGACGGTGAAATGATAATCCAAAGACATTTCTTGCATCCTTGTCATCAAACACTCATCCGAATTCACTGCAAAACAGTAGTATATTTTAAAAGTATGAGTAAACACACAATAAATGTGGTTATCGTTATTCAATGAAAGGACATTAAAAACAAAGTTGGTGAAATTTTGGGAAATCAATGTAGTTATCAATTATGTATAGACAGCTAGGCTTAGGCTAGATAGCTCATCAAACAATGGCCAATTAGATTACAACAACAGGCAGCTTGGTTAGATTTTGTCACATGACGAGTTCTTTATTTATTTTTGTAGTTTATTCTTCTTCTCTCCCTCTAATTATATAAAAAGCATATGATTATAAAAATGTGAAGTATCAATTATTAAGTCGTATTAGGAGGATCTGAATAAAGAAAAGTGAGTGGTGTGAGAGTGAGAGTGACAGAGACTACTAGTTAGAGAACAGAGAGAAGAAGAAGAAGAAGAAGAGAAGACTCTCGTGGTTTTGTTTAGTTTAGTTTAGTTGCACATGGTAGGAGATGGAAGGTGTTTGGCTAGTCCACGTGGGCGGATCTATTGAGAAAAAATTGGACTAATCTACCCCATCACTATTTTTACTAAATGACAATGTTTGATACCCCTATAAACGACCCTACGCTTCCCAATATGTTCTCTGCACTCAATTATGGGACACGACGATTTTGCCAGTTATGCAATTTCCACTAAACTCACTCTACTCTAGTTTTGATCAAAACAACTATTTATCTCTAAACTTTCTTGTTTTCATATTTGATTTCTACAATGAACTTTAGGAAAAGAAGAACAAATAAGAAGTTGACAGCTTTTTGAGTGCCAGAAGTGACAATAGTATACACATTTGGGTGGACAATGTTATTGACAAATGTTTCTTGTTTACTTTGACTTATATTATTTTAGAGAACATTACTATTGAAATGAGTGGGAATGAACATGTTTCTTCGACAAAAGGCCAAAACTACAAATACCAAATTTTCACCAACTCTTGCAGACATACCAATTATAAAATGACCAAATACAGTAAAGTATGGACTTCTTGTTATATTTTTTGATGTTTTCTTATATTTTTCAAAGTGTTTTATCCTTTTTTATTGGGATTTTTGCTCTTAAATAATATTCCTCCTACTAATAAAGTATTTTTACGAGTTTTATAGTTGAATGAAAAAACAAAAAGTAGTTTCACATTTGTAAAGCTAAGAGAAGCACAAAAAAGTAAGTATTCACGATACAAAATCGATACGTCACATCAAGATTCGCTAGGTAGGTTACACATTTGGGACCTCATCAATAAAACACCCACCGACACTTCTACTTAATGTAACTAAATCTTCCCTTTTTTCTAAACATATACTATATTTAAATATATTATTAACAACCCATAATTTTATCATAAAATATGATACGGAGGTAGCTCTTAATACAATGATCATATCATGTGTTCATATATTATTGTGTTTTATGTAATGCACGTTCCTATGATCTAATTGTTTCAAATTAGAGTATTAATTTTGACCCTATCTTTTTTGGTCCTCCATTTTAAGTCAGAATTTCACAAGAAACAAAAAGGAAAGAAACATTATAGCATATAGAGTATATCTAATTAATTAATGTGCATTTGATCAGATGATTTCCGTAATTATTATTACTATTTTATGTATATTTCACTAATTTGTACATAATTACAAGTACTTAGCCTGAAAAGGGAGTAGTAATTGAGTGAGAAAACGAATCCCAAACTCGTGTCTAACTTTCTAATTAAAGCAGTGATTACTGATTAGCACTACTTGTCAATCATGACACCACATTAAAAAAAAAAAGGACCAAAACGATCAAATCAAAACAATGTAACTCAGAAAAGAGAAACCGCTAAAATAAAGAGGTTGATTAAAAAAAAAAAAAAAGAAGAAGAGAAGAAATTACCAAATTTCCAGCGAGCTTGAACGAGAGCAAGCTTTGGGTTATGGAGGAGGAACGGTACGGTTCTCCAGAGATAATCCGGTTCGGGTTGGAAATCAGCGTCGAAGATTGCAACGTAATCGCAGCTTTTGACATAACTCTTCTTCATCCCTTCTTTCAAAGCTCCAGCTTTGTATCCGTTTCTGTTGTCTCTGATCTCGTATTTTATGTTTACTCCTTTGCTCGCCCATCTGCTACACTCCATCTCCACTAGATCCTGTCACCACCAACAACAAACATATATGAGTTATTTGAAGTACCCATTTCGAAAAAATCTGATCTTTGCTGAAATCAAGAACCCGTGTGTTATATAGAAATCAAGCGGAGAATCTAAATATGTTTGTGTGATCGAGTTTTGTAGGAGAATTTGGTTATGAGATTAAAAAAGAAGCATTACTTTGATCGTTGGGTCAGTGGAATCGTCAAGAACTTGAATGACGATTCGATCAGAAGGCCATGAGAGCCCACAAGCAGCTCCGATGGATAGCTGATAAACCTACATTCAATTAACAAACAACATTTAGAATACAATCCAAGAGAGAAAGATACAGAGAAGAAGAGAATCTTGATTTAATTTTGGGACCTCTCGTTCGTTGAACATAGGGATTTGAACAAGAACCATAGGATAAACAGAGTTTCCAAGCTCGAGGTCGTCTTTGATTGGTTCGTATTTGAAACGTTTGTCTGGTTTTCGACCAAACAGCTTCACAAGAGAGATGACTATCCCCATGTAAACC